ATGTTATTTATACTGAGCGGCACTGTATTTTACTTCCTTTTTGTCCACTACAAGTTTGGATGGGCTCAGAAAATCTCAAGTAAGTGTCAACAGAGGGGCAGTTCTGCTATGAGGGCAGCACACCGGCCCTGGGTCTCCTCAGGCAGCTGACAAATTTCACCTCCGCTTTGTGAGGACACGACCCCTTAACCTCAGTGTGACAGCTCTGGGTCCACCTGTGGCCTCCTCCTTTGTTTCCATCAATTACTGTAACAAGTAGAAGGGAAGGCACCATTTTTTAAATTGTGAAATACAGATAAACCTTGCCATCTTAACCATTCTAAGCACACAGTTCAGTGGTGCTGCCCTTCCCCACTGTTGGGCACCCAACTGCAGAGAACCACAGGCAGCATCTGGGAGGCTCAGTAGCATCCCAGGGACACCCAGGAGGTGACAGACTGAGACAAGGGCCCGAGCCTTCAATGCCAAGGCCACTCAGCAATCCTGGGTCTTTATCCTATATAATAAAAGCCTAATATGCAAATCAACCGAACCGAAGAATGACAGGTGGAATGACCAATCGCTATGACGTGCACTGACCACCAGGGGTGGGCAGACAAGGCAGGAGCTGCCCCCAGCCCAGCCAAGGTGGGTGCGAGCGGGGGCCTCCCAATCACCCTTCTAGTCGTCCCACAGATTGGCCCTGATCGCCAGCCAGGCCTAGGGACCCTACCTGTGCACAAATTTCATGCACTGGGCCTCTAGTCTATTATAAGGCACTAGTTTGAAAGTTTAACTACATAACCACTTTCATTTTGAAAAAGAAAGTAGTGCCAAAGTTCGTCATGGCGACTCGGCAGTACATCCGTGTGTATGATGTTCACCAGGTCTCATCCTGTTTGGCACATCCCACTGCAAGGAACTCCAGCTATAAAAGCTTCCAGGCCCCGAGCATGATGGGTGTTTCCTGGTCTCCCTCCCTCGTACCGGAGTTCCTAAAGGCAGGAATCGGGCTGGAGCTATTCAACAGCCACTTAACACTTATTGAGTGAATGTGATTAAAAATCTGCCTCTGCCTTTCTCCTCAGCGTGTCTGAACAGGGAAGTACAGCCCTCTCGTCAGACACGCCCATGTGGTTACTTACCTACATGAACTTAGGTCGACATGCAGGTCAAGGTAGGAAAGAGCAAACCCCCGGGTGAGGTTTAGTCTGACTCTCAGGGACGAGGATGCCTAGAGCTCGGGCAAGTCCCAGGTCCTCTCAGCCTCCATGTCCTCCTCTGAGGAACCAGGTACCACCACTTACCTGACAGCCGTGTCATAAGCAGGAGGGGGTCTGTTTCATGTTAACAAAGTGAAACCAAAAACAAAATCTAGCTTAGCTTTCTATTTCCACCAAGGACTTGTTTCCTTTCCTGAAACAGCTCACCCCAACCCAACCTCTTGAACCTAACCCTAAGCTGAGGGAGAGATTACAGACACAGTACTATAGGAAGGAAAGATAATTTATTACTATTTAAAAAGCAGCTAATTTTCCCCCATGCGTTTGAAAATAAACTCGGATTTGATGATGCTGACAGAGAATCTAGCCAGGATGACTTAAAACCTAAAGGTACAAAATGTCTCCCCCCACATACTGTATTTTTTATTGACTCTATTGGGGTGACATTACATTAAAATTATATAGGTTTCGGGTGTACAATTCCATAATACTGTATACTGTACTATGTCACCACCCCCAGTCAATCAAGTCTCCTTCCATCACCACCTATCCCCCATACCCTCTTCTCCCTCCCTCCAAAATGTCTTCTCAGCTTTAGAATATTTAGCCAAGCTGCTCCCCACAAAAACCAGTAAGACGTTGGAATTAAGCTGGTGAAGAGAGAACAATCTGGGTTTTAAACACGATGAAGTCTTCAGTGATTTCAGGCTCATATTCAACCATTGGTCAGTGGTAAACATGTGCATATAATTGAGTCATTCATATTTTTACTACAAATTGTTTGGTGGCAATAAAGTATTTAGCAGGTCTCTAATGCTTGAGGGGAAATAACTTGTGCCCTAAGAACCACTGAGCTGCCAGGATGGTTCTGCCTGCCTCCCAGCACTGTGGGTTGGGCCTCGGAGCGCGGGCCTAACAGGACTCGCCACGGAGTAACAGTCGTGCTGCTCACCACTAAGCTGGCAAACTCGTTTCGTTAGCTTCCTAACGGCACTTTTTGACTCTCACCCAGAGCCCATCACCATGCACCTTCAGATGCTGATGGAAGTTGTCCCAGCGGAGGAAGCTCCAGAGTAACAGACTCAGTCGCCCACAGCAGGGCCAAGCAGTGATGGACTGATTTTTGTAAGCAATTATCTGCAGTTATTTCTTCCTGACGTTTTTCTTAAGAAAAAAATGTATTGCAATGTCTATAATATTTGTATTTTTAGATATTCACACCTACTTAAATAAAGGGAATTGTTTAAACTTAGTGATCAAAAGGTATACAAAAAATGGGTGAAACTTTTGCTTTGTGTGAAACAGATTTTTAAAATACAGAAGTACAAATGTTTACCACTTCCCCGTCCTCCTCCCAAGACTAGCGCCACCCCCACATTTAACCTGGGATGTGCATGGCAGGCCTGTCCCAGGCGGAATGTGGCGGCCCCACTGCAGAGCTGACCGGGAACCGAGGGCGCTGCAACCAGCGGTCAGCATCCCAGCTCCCCAACAGCCGTCACTGGCGTTTTGGTCAAACAAGAAAGCGTGGTGAATAAAGTTCTATTTTGCATTTGGCACTCAGGGAAAATGCTGTCTAAAAAGTGTAAAAAATAAACATTTCTGTGAAAACACTAATTTTATTGGTATACTTCAAAAGAGATCACACAACTAAATATGGGAGCAATTTAGAAACATAAAGACAAAGTAGTTTTACCTTAGATTTCAGAAATCTTCCCCAAACATGAAATCAGTACATATTAATAGAACAAAAAACAATTAGTAGTTGTCTACATGTCACAAGTCAGTGTCCTGTCCTGCAAAACGTTATTTAGATCTTCAAACAGTAAATATAATGTCCGAAAAAAGAAATGAGGGTTAGTTTAAGGTAGAGCCCTCTTCCCCTGTAATTGTTTTTTTAATCCTCACCAGAGGACATGTTTTGTTCCTTTTCTCATTGATTTCAGAGAGGAAAGGAGAGAGAGAAACATGGATGTGAGAGAGAACCATCAATTAGCTGCCTCCTGCAACTGCCCCGATTGGGGATCAAATCTGCTAAGTATGTGCCCTGACCGGGAATTGAACCCACGACCTTTTGGTATATAGGACGACACTCCAACCAACGGAGCCACCCGGCCAGGGCCTCCCCTGTACTTTCATTTAGCTGTTTGTGAACCACAGTGAGTGAGCATTCCGTCTTCTTTGAGTAGGGCCCCCCAGCATTCGTACATGGGAAACACATTTGTGTAGCTCTATGACTTGCTATTTGCTATGTTTTTAAGAGACTGAGTATACTGAGCATAAACTGCAGGTGGCTGACAAGCCCAGGGAAAGCCAGTGCAGCTCAGGAGGCTGGGCTGGCCGACAACCCCAAGGCCTCCTGCAGCGAAGGCTGTGCCTACAGACACTGACACCTCATGACGACTTAGGAGAGCTCCGCAGTCAAAACCTTTGCCAGCAAAGACCGAGCTTCCTATTTCCCGAAAAGCCGGCCTGATTTAGCTGTGGGAGCCAGGGCAGCAGCAGGGATGTGCTCCAGCCGAAGTCTAGGCTGCGCACCGTGTCCTCTTGCCAGGGCGGTGGTCTGACCTCCTGCTCAGAGGTGCCTCCCACAACAGAGGCCCTGAGCAGCAGCAGTGCTCTGGGCACCTCCTGAGGAGGGGCAGCGTGGTAAGCAGGTCTTGTTTTACAGATGAGGAAACTGAGCCAGAGTGTGACCCAGACCTGCCCACGGGACGGCCTGGCGACAGAGTTTACCTCTTTCACACGGTGCTTCTACCTGGGAGACCCACGCCCCTGAGCACCTGTGCTTTCTGGTGTATAAAGGAACAAAGACCTGGGGGCAAGTCGCACAGTCGTGTTCTAGAGCCGCTTTTCCACCTCTGGGCGCGGCTGCCACTCACACTGAATGAAGATGTGCACAGCGCTTACATTTCCCAGTGGCTCTTTCTACCTTTTCCAATTCACATGAACAGTCAGGCTCTGGGCGCCAGATTTAAGGGGTAGTGACAGTACACATTCCTTCCAACTGTCTTGTGAACCTGGTGCCACAGCCCCAGAACGGGGTCATGAATGTTGTTAGGGGTCATCACATCCAGGTGTCCTGAGGGTTACCTGCAGGCACCCCACAGGTCCTTTTCCGTTTCCACTGAAGGGGAACCTTTGTCTCAAGGGCCCAGGACTCCGCAGGTTCAGAGGGTCCTGCAGAAGCAGTAGCTTACCTCCAGAAAGCCTTGGGTCTGGCTGGTATGGCTCAGGCCACCCCATTTTTATCCTTGAAATAACTGTATACGAAGTAAACTTGCCCGGAGTAGCGATCAATATCTTAAGGACACCAGAGGTGTTACTACAAGTTTGAATCCCAACTAACTCATGGCCGAAAGGCTCTGTTAAGCACTGCCAAGTATGGATTTATGAGACAGAAACTTCAACTTATATGCACAAGATGTTTTTAGGAATGCACCAAACGTAGTTTTAAATGAAAAACACAAATAGACGAGCTCCAGATAGTACAGTTCATTATCCGAAAGCCGGGAGCTCTTTGTCATTCAACTGGGGTATGTTGGGATGGGCTTCGCATGACGCAATGACGCAATGAGCAGGACAGCTGGGAAGCCGGGCTGTTAGACCAGCACTTCCTGTCTCCGCTTCCACCCTCCTTCATAGTCTCATCTTCAGCCCTTTTTTAACATTTTTATTTTTTTATTAACTTGAGAGAGAAACATCGATTTGTTGTTCCACTTATTTATGCATTCATTGGTTGACTCTTGTATGTGCCCTGACTGGGGATCGAACCCACAACCTTGGCATATAGGGACGACGCTCTAACCAACTGAGCTACCAGGCCCGGGCCTCAGCCCATTTTTAAATAGATTCAGAATTTCTCACCATTACCAATCCCAGTGCCACCAGATGACCCCTAGTAATAAAAAGGTGTGAACGTGACTGCTGTTCTCTAGCGTCCAGTCACTCGGTGACCCCCTGTCCGCCTCAGGATCGGGCCCACACGCTCAGTCGCTCTCGGTCTCCTCATCCTCCGAGGTCTGGTCACTGCTCTCCATCACCTCTGCCACTTTGCAGGACAGGTTTTTAGATGTTACAACTAAAAGAGTCAGATATTAGTTTAAAACATGTTAACTAAGAACTAATTGGCAAATCTTTTCCCCTCCCATTATTTTGGTCAATGTAGAAAAAGTCTTTTGGGCTCTACCTCTATCTGTTATACAACTTATTTTATAATTTCATTATTTTGGGCAGGAAACGAGCAGGTAAAGTTCACTTGCTTATAAATAAAATTTTCTCCTAGGAAAACTACCTGTAACAGTGTTATAAGAAGGTATGTTGCCCTAGCCGGTTTGGCTCAGTGGACAGAGCGTCGGCCTGCGGACGGAAGGGTCCCAGGTTCGATTCCGGTCAAGGGCACATGCCTGGGTTGCGGGCTTGGTCCAACGTGCAGGAGGCAGCCAATCAATGATTCCCTCTCATCACTGATGTTTCTACCTCTCTCTTCCTCTCCCTTCCTCCTTGAAATCAATAAAAGTATATTTAATAATAATAATAAAAAGGTATGTTTATAACCAAGAATGGATAGCTCCTCAAGCTGGAACATGTAGCATCAAGATCAACCACAGGAAGAAAACTGATTCCTAAGGGCTTTACAGGAATCACCCATTTCCCCAAAGGCCACACATTCCTAAGATCAGCTGAGTGGCTATGTCCACCCCGTGGCACTCAGGACCTACCCTCTCTCTAGGGACGGGACATCCCCTCTTACCCTTGGAGAAATGGCTCTCCTCTTCACATTCTTCCCAGTGATCAAAATCGAAAGCCACATTAGGATTCTGTACAATAAAACAGTTTACATTAAGTGAGAAAATAAAACACGCTCAGGTTGTTAAGACCAGCCAGTTCATTTCAACTCACCTTCTGTCTGAGTAAGCTACACCAAGATTCCCTTCTCTCTTTTGCAAGAGTGATTATAGGTTCCTCATTTTTAATTATGCACTTGCAATCGTCCTTTATTATGTTGGCCTGCAGCTCCAAATCGGCCAAGTAAAATTTTTCTCCTACCCAGGCACTAGGTTTACAAAAAGAAAAGAGTCAGTTTTTTAAAATGTTGGGGATTATTTCTATTTTACTTTACAAGATTTAAATAAACCTACCTGAAAATGACTCTATCTCTAAAATATTTGCACTTGTAATCTTTTACATTCCTTATTCTTATCTTCAATATGACCACATCGTCTTTTTGGAACCATTTTATTGGTGGGTGGAAGCTGGAGGAAAAGAAAGGGGCTGACATCTCACCACCACTTGCCAGGTGAGGACGGAGAGCGGGCCTCGGGCGGGGCGGCCATACCTTTGCAGAGGCTCCGTAGTTCTGTTCACAGAAGCATCTCCAGTGTTTCCAGGTGAAGCTTCTGTACAAAAGGTCACATTTCCCCACAGGTTACTTATATGCAACCCATAATGTAAACACATATGTACTTACTTTGCATTTTATGCAACGTTTAGCTGAGGAAGTACTCTCAGAGCATAAATTTCATAGTAAACTAAGTATACACTTGCAAAGAATAATTAGGAAAAAACTAAAATGCACAGCACTTAGTAAAACTAATGAAAACAGGTTTTGACAAATAGTACAATTAAACAACTGGGAAACTAAGGCTACTCTCTGAAAAGCACCCACATTACAGCCAGTGGCTGCAGGACACACGTGTTCAGGCTCCTCCGCTGTCTTCACCTGCTCGGACCCACTAAGGTGACTTCCACAACAGTAGGCAGGACACTCAAGGAACAATACTAAGCGTAACACTTTCTAAAACAAAGCTACGAAACTTCTCCATCTAAATTATTTGAAGCTTCCATCCAAACACTGTCCATAGCAGCTTGAATAACAATAATCAAAAACTGAAAACAACACAGACCATGGGGCAGTGAGGGCCTGGGGTGGGGGGCAGGGGTGGGCTGGAGGGAGTCCATGGGGGAAAAGGGGGGACTTATGTAATACTTTCAACAATAAAGAATTATTAAAAAAAACATCATCGATCAATAGGTGAACTGATAAACTGTGGCATATTCACAGCATAGAAAAATCTCAGCAATAAAAAATGCTACACACTTATCTAGATGAATTCTGCAGACATACGCTGAATGAAGAAGCCACAAGAGTGTATACTATGTGCTTCGGCAAAACTGATGGTGACAGAAGTCAGAACAGCGGTTACTGGGTAAGGTTCCAGACGGGGAAGTGCCTAAGGGAGACTTCGGGGTTCTGGACACGTTCTTGGCCTGGTTACTGCACATATACACGTGTAAAAATATCTCATGAGCGGTGTGCACTTACTGAATGAACATTATACCTCAAACCATAAAAAGTGAAAAAGTTACCCAAAAAACTACTGGAAGCCGAATTGTCAAAAACAGGACGCTGGGCAATCCCCTCTCTCTAATCCATGTAAAGTGGAGAGCCTGCACAGCAGAACACCTCTAAGAGTGGTTGTATTAGCCACCCTTTAAGTAACCAACCATGCTTCCGGTTTCCTGAGTTCGTTCCGGAGTCGGCACCTCTTTCCAAAGCCCCGTCCTCTGGCCGTGTGCTCTGCAGACAGGCGGCCTCTTCTGTAGACGACGGCACCCTGGACAGAACAGGCGACGTTAATCCGAGGAGACAGGCGAACCTGGCTCTGCAGGGACTTCCCAGCCAGAAGGCAGGCAGGCGACCAATGGCCATGCTGTGCCCACTCCCGCGAGCCACACGCATGCTGAGCTTACGGCTCCTTTACGGACGCCCCAGGGCAGCCAGCTCTGCTCACTCTGTGGGCCTGGCATCAAGCACAGAGCAGATGACTGACACATATTATCAGATAAATGCAGCAACTCATTTGCCGAAGTAAGTTCCCTGTCCAATCATTCAACTTGAGAATAACATAATGCCCCCCCACTTTAAGGAGGATAAAAGGGCAGAGTAAAAGCCATCTCTCCCCCCCCCCCCGCCCCCACCCCGATCCATCAGCTCCTCTGACAAGCTTGGGTCTGCTTCTAGAAAGTCTTTGCATATAAAAGCAAATATCTGATCTTTCTATCTCTATCTCTCTCTCTCTCACATACACACACGGGCATGTTTAAACAGAGGAAACCTACTGAAATCACTTTCCTGCCCCTTACTTTATTGTACTTAATAAAACCAGAGATTAGAGGGCGGCCTCCTTTCTCTAAAGTTTTTAAATTGTGTTTCTCTTTTGTTTTTTTGAGCAGGTAACCACATTCATGTGGTTTAATAAATAAAAAAGTCTACACAGTGACTCTCCACCCTATTGCCCAGCCACCCAAACTCCTTCCTCGTGGTGACTATGAAATGCATTTGTGTGCATCCTTTGAGAAGTCAAGCCTAAAGGAGCAAACCTATGTACCATGTGTACACACACATGCACACTTACGGAGTAGGGATGTGCGTGTGTCTCCAGGGGACTTGACTGACATGCAGGAAGCCTGCGGCGCAGCACTGCCCAAACAGCGGAGAGCACTGCCCCATGTCCACACACCGGGACCCCTCCTCAGGCCTCGCCCTCTCTCAGGGGTGCAGCACCGGCCCTCCATCACTCACTCTCTTCCTCCACCACGGCTCTACCTCCTTCATTAGACCCTCAGCTGTGGGGTGTCCCTTCCTCCTCACACACACCAAGTTTCAACTCTCCTCCAACCTGGAGCCCAGAGCCTTCCCCAGGGCTTCCTGCGTTCTAGGCTCATACTTTCAACCTCATGACACGGAATAGGTCCAAAATCAACGTGGTGTCTCCTCCTCTCCAACGGGCCAGCTGCTCCTGGAAAACATCCTGTAGCCACCAACCTGCCACTATCCTCAGTCCTCGGGGCTCAGAGTCACAGAGTCTCGCTCCCCTGCCTATTGATCACTAAGCCCTCCGGCCTCCCGATCTCCAGGCCTGAGTCCATCCTCTTTCCCAATCTGCTGCACAGCATCCCTACCCAGCTCCTGTAACTGCGCCTCTTTCCCTTGGGGGGTGGGGGGGGGAGGAGTCTTTGCAGACCCGAGGCCCTCTGCACCTCTCTCTACCTGTGTTCATGGCCGCAGGTGTGCAATACTCCTGCACAAGCACAAATGGAGTGTGCACAGGGACCCAGCGGAGCACTCTGCACGGAGCTGGGGCTCAATGCAGCTGTTTCAGGTAAGCGATCCATCCCAGTTTTGATTCAATCTACTAAGCTGTAATGACATCTTCATTTTAAAAGAAGCATGGGCTCTCGCCCGGCACCCCAGCTTTCCACACCCAGGACCTGCTGACAAGGCTCCATGAGACCACACGCTCACTACAAACCTACTCAGAAGCCAGCTCCTTCTCAGCACCCCCACAAAACTAGCGCAGCGCAGGCCACCACCACCCTGCCCACAGCTGGGCACAGCCTGCGTCCCCCGCTCCAGCCTATTCTCAACACAGAAGCCAAGAATCTTTTCACTGCGTGATTTCTCTGCTCAAAACCCTCGCATGGTTCCACCTCCTCAGAGTGGAGCCCACTCCCTGCGGCGGCCACGGGGACAAGATCTGGCCCAGGACCGCTCCTGCGTCTCCCTCAGGTGCTGCTCTAGTCACCGGGCTGCTCTAGGCAACCGCCCTTCCCTCCCTGGTGCCGGCCTTCCTCCCTGGGCCGGGGGCCACGCTGTCCCTGTCCTTCCTCATCGGCCCCTCCCGTAGTCACCGCCCACCTTCTTGACCCCAAGATTCCCTACGTGCCTTTCTGTGTTGATTTGCTTCCCTTCACTTGTCACCACCTGACCCACCTGTTTGGTTCACTACTGTGTCTCCAGTTGACACTCAATACTTACTGAATGAATGAATTCTAAAACTTCCACTCTACCTAATGGCAACTTTAATTGAAAGTATTTATCTGCTAGTTGGGTAAACTGAAACAAAGTTGGACTGAAGAAATATTCCAGCATCTTGCTACCAAAACGGCAAACCAGGAAGCCCCGAGTTCCCACCATTTCCCATCAGAAACACTGCGAGGACCACCGGAAGCTGCCTGAACCGACTGTGCAGGAGCTCTGGAAAGTGAAAGGTTTACAGCAGCCAACAAAGCCCAGTCAGGAAACAGCCAGCTCCGAAAGGGGAGGCAGGCTCTGTGTGTCCACTTGTCTTTGCCCCACACCCAGGGCCTGGCGGGCTTGAGTGGCAGCAGCTTATTCCTGTTCCCCCTCAAACCAGAGGGCGCAGAGCAGGCCCCTTGCAAATTCTCTGCAGGCCATTCTGAGGTGTCTGGGAGACACCGAGGGACGCAGGCACTATGCCTGTTTGTTTCACACATCTTGGCACACAGGCAGGAAAGCAGCGGGCAGTTTGGAAAAGCTGACACCACAGATGCCCGGGGCAGGGACTAGGCATGGAAACCCGCAACAGACCACTGAAGGCCTAGAGGAGAAACTGGGTGAGACTCACTGGGAAACTAGGACATTCAGCAGCAGCAGCACCTTGCGGGGGTCAGGGAAGGGTGCAGAAAGCCACGCACGTGCTGAGGCAAGACGCGTGCTCAGAAAAGTCCTAAGACGACCTTGAACGTGACCTCGGGCTGATTTCTAGGCGAGGCTGTGGAGAAAGTGGGAATTTTCGTGCACTGCTAGTGGGAATGTAAAGTGGTGCAGCTGCCGTGGAAAACACTTTGGCAGTCCAAAAAATCAAACACAGAATTACCCCATGATCCAGCAAGTCCACTTCTGGGAATATACACAAGAACCGAAAGCAGGGGTGTGAACAGATATCCCTAACGCATGTTCTCAGCAGCACAATTCATACAGCCATACATCCATGAACATTAATAGATACACAAAGTGTGGTCTATCCATACAATGGAATATTTTTAGCCTCAAAAAGGACTGAAATTCTGATACATGCTACAATATGGGTGAACCTTGAAAACATTATGCCAAGTGGAATAAGCCAGTCACAAAAAGACAAACATTGTATGCAGTATCGGAACAGCTAAACTACTAGAGACAGAAAGCAGAATGGAAGTTACCAGCGACTGGGGGCGGGAGAAAAGAATTATTGTTTCTGTTTGGGGTGATGTAAAAGGTCGAGAGATGGACAGTGGTGGTGGTTACACAACACTGTGAATGTAACTAATGCCACTGGATTTTACACTTACAGTTACAATGACAAATTTTTATGTATATTTTAGTGCAATTAAAATACAACAAAATGAGAAATTCTGTTATGTCTGTGTTAACACAGTCAAAAAACACATGCAATTTTAAAAATTACTAATAATTTTTGTTAGATGTAATGATAGCACACCAGTCAAGTTTTTAAAAGCCTTTTGTTCCACATCCTTGGCAACACGGTATTTTCTTTCACTTCTGGTGAATATGTAGTGGGATGACTGCACTGTGTTTTTAATCTGCATTTCCCTGATGGCTAATGAGTTTAATCAATAGACAATTAATTAGCTGGACACTGTGAAGTTTCAAGTTTTTTGCTCAGTTTTCTACAGGTGTCTGCAATTTTCATCCTGATTGGAAGGAGTTCTTGATTTGAGTCCTTTGGCAACACACGCTATCATCCTCCCGCTTTGGGGTTGCGAGTCCCTCACACTGCTGGGAGAAGTACAGACTGGTGCAACCAATGTGGAAAACTGTGGGGCAGTAGCTCTAGCTTGACTCAGCAATTCTATTCTATCAGAAATACATTCATAAGTGCACCAAAACACAGGCAGGAGAATGGTTAAAGTACCACCCGAAGTAGCCCAGCACTGGACGTTTCTCCCATCAACAGAATGGGTAATTATGGTACATTCACACAATGGGATATAATTCAGCAATGGGAATGTCAGGCCTACAGCTACATGCACAACATGAATGAGTTTCACAAATAACGCTGAGCTAAAGAGCTAGACTTAAGAGAGACACACTGCATGATTCCGCTCAGAGGACAAACCCAGTGCTGCCCTGGAAGGGAGGAGCTGGTCTAAGTCACGTCCTGTTTCTGATCTGGGGCTGGTTTCTTGCTCAGAAAACCTACCAAACGACATTTACAACACGTGCACTTTTCTGTCTGTGTGCTATCAATAAAAAGCTAATAAAAACTCATTCCATAAGAGACACACAGTGAAATAATACATCTGGGATCCGTTTTATCACTCCACAAAAACAAAAGTGAAGGCTGGTTAAAACAAGATTCCCCAAAGTAACTACTGAAGCTGAGTGATAAAAACAGGGAAACTCATTAAACTGTCTACTTTCAAAAAATGTCTGTAACGCTTGTAAGTTAGATTTCCACAAAACAGCTCTCCCAAAAGAGAGACAAAAATCCACTTACAGTGTTTGGCTTCGGCTTTCTTCAACAGTTTGTATTTTAGCTCCTTCGTATAATTTTTTCAGTTGTTCTATATGTTCTGGATTATCAATGCCCATTCCCATTGACAAAATTTCAGCTCGAACATTGTAATCAATGACAGAAGTTTTCAAATTTAAAAGTTTTGTAACGTGCACCTTGAATCAAAGAAAAAAATACATTTGCAGAATCAAACTTTGAACTTTAAATGAATCACAAGCACGCTCACGCGGCCTCTCGATCCAGCTCTGTAAGGTGTGATGCCCTTGGGCACATGCCACCGTGTGCAAGGGCCTCCACTCACAGCCGATCATTTCATAACCGAGTGCCACGGGAATCTTCCAGAGCCCAGTCCCACACCGCACAAACACCACCAGCTCTGGGTCAGGGCAAGACCGAATCCTGGCATGGAAGCCAAGACGAGACCAATTTGTGATGCTCTAACCACCCACAACAGTCCTAGGTTTTTCTGATTTTTGCTCCGGTACTTTGACCTCTCTCCACAAGGAAGACCCTGGTCTCCAGGTGCCCAGAAAGGCCCTCCGCCAAAGCCCTGAGTCCTGTGTTCTGGACAGTTTCCTCCACTATCTCTTCTGCAACCAAAACATTCTCACCCATTTCAACTGACACAAAATTAGTTGATTCCTGTTGATTGGAGATGCACACCCAGGACTGGGCATCCCTTTCATGGCGTGCTGGCACTGCCTGAGGCACCTTCCTAGCGACCCCTGGGGATGTGTCCCATCTGGGACGGGTGTTCCTCTCCCACAGTGGAGAGCCAGCTGGTCGAGTGGAGAAGACAGCAGGCGTGGTCTGTCTCCCGCAGCGTGCCCCGGCCACTGCTACACTTTAGAGCTGCCTAAGCATATTTGCCAGGGGTGGGGAGGGGGTTCTTCTTCTTTTTTGTTTTATTCTCTTAGCTATAGCTTTAAAAATTGCTGCTTGATGTAGTTTCCATTTTTCTCCAATAAAGAACCACAATATTGACTATTACAGTATCAACTAGTAATCTCTACCTTCACTTCTAAAAATCATTTATCCTCTTACTCTTAAATCTCATACCCAATCCAAATTCCTTTAAAAGTTTTAAGGCATTTCCAATCTTACAAAAATAACCTCCAGCAGAAGTTTTTACAAAATGAATTCCTTTAGCCCTAACTGGTTTGGCTCAGTGGATAGAGCGTCGGCCTGCGGACTAAAGGGTCCCAGGTTCGATTCTGGTCAAGGGCATGTACCTTGGTTGCGGCACATCCCCAGTGGGGAGTGTGCAGGAGGCAGCTGATCGATGTTTCTCTCTCATCGATGTTTCTAACTCTCTATCCCTCTCCCTTCCTCTCTGTAAAAAATCAATAAAATGTATTTTAAAAAATGAATTCCTTTAAATTTTATCAATAATCAGTAATAGAGAAAACTTTGACTTGAAAAGTAGAGCTCCTGGGGCCAGGGAGAGGAGATGGTGCCCACGTCAGAGGGGATGCACTGAGACCCTATTTACATGGCCTCATCCCACGGTCACCACCCTCCCCGACGTCAGCTCACAGCATAGGAGTCTCTGTTCACAAATGAAACTCAAGTGTCCCATACAGGTCCTACCTAGCACACAGTAGGTACTCAATCAATATTTAGTGAATGAATGAGATAGAAACTATAACATAATAAAACCTATTTTTGAAAGCCCACGGACTGGAACTCCCCGCACTACCAATCACGGGTCGGGACTTCAAGCTCATTTACAACTAGACGGAGGGCAGTCACTGACCCCAGGCCTCCCCACCTGTGGAGACAGAGGACTGTGAAACCGACCTAACAGTGCACACCCAACACTAAAAAAGTGGAATAGGCCCTAACCAGTTTGGCTCAGTGGAAAGAGCGTCGGCCTGCAGACTCAAAGGTCCCAGGTTCGATTCCAGTCAAGGGCATGTACCTTGGTTGTGGGCACATCCCCAGTGGGGAGTGTGCAGGAGGCAGCTGATCGGTGTTTCTCTCTCATCGATGTTCTAACTCTCTATCCCTCTCCCTTCCTCTCTGTAAAAAATCAATAAAATATATATTTTTTTAAAAAAGTGGAATAGGCAGAACTGTAAACATTAGAGACTGTCACATAGTAAGGACAGTTTCATGAAGCTTGTCTCGGGTGTGTGTGTGTGTGTGTGTGTGTGTGTGTGTTCACACACATGCCTGTTAGCATTGGGAGACAATGCAAAAGATTCCTTTAAACAAAAACCCCACAATCAAATTATTACCCAAATAACATGAAAAAAACTCCTCCTAATTCAGAGTCCTAAGTAAGCCTCCATTCATGTGAGACAAAAGTTACTCAAAGCAACAGGTTAGAATAACGGGACTATTTCAGAGCCCATTCAAACACACATTTGTTTTTAAGGAAACTGGGTACTCACCATTGGATCAATCCAAACTGTATTTCCTAAAGCAAATACCACTTTGGCATCATGCAATTTTCCAGTAACTTTATGATGGATGTACCTCGTGACCTGAAAAACACACTGAAGTGGTTTATGTGAAGCTTTAAGAAAAGACCTCGTTCTGTATATGCCATGTGGTTCTGCAACAAACTCCCACACATTCCATTAGAGCCCACAGCCATCCCAGGAGTAGGTTATGGAGGCCCGTGTGCCCCTTTCATCGACCAGAGTAACTAACAGTGGAGCTGAACACCGGCAGGTGTGAGCCCTGGCCGGTGTGGCTTAGAGGATAGTTGGCCTGCAATTCCTGATCAAGGGCATGTACTTGGGTTGCAGGCTCGATCCTGGCCTTGGTTGGGGTGTGTGCAGGAGGCAGCCAACCAATGTGTCTCTGTCATCTCTCTCTCTCTCTCTCTCTCTCTCTCTCTCTCTCTCTCTCTCTCTCCCCCCCCTCCCCCCCGACCCCCTTCTCCTCCCTCACTCCCTTCCACTTTCTCTGAAAAATCAATGGAAAAATATCCTCAGGTGAGATTAACAACAACAAAAGGGCAGATGCTAAAGCTGAGTGCACAGGTTCATGCCTCTGGACTTCTAATACTGCCTGCTTCCTACCGTGGACATGTGTCCCCACCTCCTCTGTTAACCATCAACCTGTCGTTAAGATATGGATGTTTATTTCCTGGAAAGCTCAATGAGAGTGCAGTAGGTGTTCCTGCAGGTGCGGGGGAGGCAGGCACGCGCGGAGCTGCTCGGCACCAGGACCTGAGAGGCCCAGCAGATGGGACCTGTCTGAGCACTTGTCAGGCACATGTTGACTCCAGTAAAGCAGACGGGGAGGGAGCTGGCTCGTGGTGACTGGATTATTTCCACCTCCGCTGAACTTTGTAATTGTCTGAAAGGACACCCACAGGAGAATGTCGCCCCCATTTCTAGAGAAGGCTCCTCTTCAAGAAATGCTTGTGGTCGATCATCTTGACAGACCAAATGTTTGCCATGACTTTCTCGCTAATGGCTACACCCCCAGAATACATGTGGCACCAGCACACAGTGGACAATCAGCAAATACTTTCCATGAAGGAAAAGACTGCTACTTAATAAATAAGTCTGTTTTACTAAACGCACTACAGGAAGGCTGTGTGTTCACCCTGTATGGTGGAAGCATTCACCTATGTATTTCCTGGATAACGTGCAACTTTGTTTTTAACCCAAACTGTTTTTACTTTGCCAACTGCAATGGCTTATTTCATATCCTACTAATCAGAGGATACAAAACTTAACTTCCTCTGAAGAACCAGGGGAAGTTATGAACAGGACTCACTGCTCTGGGGATGACTGTCTGGGGACCTCTCCCAGGCGTGAGAGCCTCTGCAGCCCGTGTTGGGAGGCCGCGGGAGCCCACCCTGGACCACTCTTCCGTGCCCCTTGTCCTGGCCCATGTTGTTTTCTTGGCCTCACTGCCTCATCCAGTCTACTTGGTGACATCACTCCTCCTAAAGGGCCCACACAAATGTTCCTTCCTTTGAGAGCTTTGCTGAACTCTCTCTTTCCTTGTCCATCCTCCCAACCCCAACGAATTACCTGGTCACTCAGAAAGTGGCCAGCAACTGTGCCCCCTCTGACAAGGGTATCCATTTTGTAGGTTCTTACACTGTTTCTTCTCCTTAAGCTGACAGCCAATGTACTTTATCAGGACACACATTTCCCACCAATTCTAAGTCTGTGAGTGCTGAGGATGATGATGGCAGCCCGCCCCCCGCAAACAGGTGCCTGTTCAGAGCTGGGTCTCTGCAGGTGGCCGTCAGCACAGCCCACACCTGCAGGGACCACGCAGACTGTGCTCTCTCTGCTCAGGAACAGGAAGCATTTACCCAGCCTCAAAACCGTGATTCAAATAAACCTCGATTCTGTGTACATTCTGTGTGAAGTATATTCTAAAAGTCAGCAAACTATAAAAAGCCGAAATAACTCTCACTTTTGGATTCCATTCAATTTCATTGTCAGCAGGTTTCACTCTACAAACAATGAACTCCATGGCCTGGGGGGGCAGAGCCTGGAAGTTTTCTGGGAGATGCAGCAGCTGATCTCTGGGGACGGGTCCAGTCCTGCCTTCATCTATAAACTTCACAAGGACAGTATCGAGTGCCGACGTGTCTGCTTTTTGGCTCACCTCCAACACCTGAACTCTGAAGAACAACAGTGGCATCAGTTTAACACAGAGATTCTAAAATGGAAATAACCTTTGCCTCCACTTACCCATTAAGTGCTAAACATATCGGAAGACCCCCGAGCTGCATGGTTTTACTCCATACTAGGAATAAAATACCTAGAGCTGTCAAGAGCACTTAGCAATGGTTTATTTAAAGCATTCCTAAGTATAAATAGAGTAAATCCCTTATTTGACAACACATTAAAAATTAACGTAGCAAATTAAAAGTTTCAAGTTTCTCAATCTAGGTTTTCACCAAGTGGAGGAGGGTGTGGCATTCGAAGGATGTAGGTGCCAACAGGTATGTGAGTCAGACTGCCCGGGTTGGAACACTGACCTCACACGAATTACACAGCCTCGCCAAGGCTCAGTATGCTGATCTGTAAAATGGGAATAATGCCACATCCTTTGTGAAAATTGCATTAAAGATGTACATGTACTTGGCACACAATGATGGCTCCATAACTGTCAGTATATAAACGCTACAGTCATCCAGGCTCTGTGCTCAAGAGCCTGGGGCCAGATGAGTCCCAGGTGTAGAACTGTGCCCAGGGTCTGGGGGCCATGACCCTGCCACCACCATCCTGGGAGTCAGCAGGCCTAGCACGTGAACAGTGGGCCGAACAGACAGAAATTAAAATGGGGGTTTAATAGCAGTTAAAGTTACCTCGTGCTTCATAACTTTTCAAGATGAAATAACAGACATTCTACCTGTGAAAAAGTGTTTTCTCTGCTAATCCATATAATCCAAATTTCTCCACCTTTTCAATGGTTGTTTTATTACTGGAATCCTCAAAATACTGCTTCATTTCAGCATTAAGAGTTGCATAAAGATCCACGTGTTTATCAACTATACGACCAAAGTAATTTGTTGCATTCAAAATGTAAAAGGGTATTATCTGAAACATAAACACAGCCATGAAATAAAATTAAGCTAAACCCAGAACCCCGTCTGCAAAATCAACACCTGACCTGAGAACCCAAAGCACATGAACAGAAATAAAAGAATAAACTGGAAAACTAGCCAACAAGCAAACAAAAACACAACAAAAACATTACCCTCAAAGAATTAGCTTCCACTTTTAAATCTACCGGGATTTTTTTTTTGGTAAATCTCATTATTTTA